TGATAAACTGGTCAAAAGAATGTAGAGCTCTCTGTAGAGAATTTAAGTCTTACTAAGTTGTGCTGGCATCGTCAACATTATTAAAGAGTCAATATCTGTCCCGTTCATTTGCTATCCAGACACCACAAGCAAGGGTTCTTTGAAGGTTGTAATGGGGCAACCCATGTCTTATGCTTCCTATCGCGTGGGACTGAGGGCTGTGCCTGCTGATGATACCCAGGGAATACTTACTGATGTGACGAACGAATGAAGCTGGAAATCAGGATAACATTGCACCAGTTAGATCACTGTCTTGAAGAGACTAGGTTTAGTGTTGGTTGCCACATTTTAAAGCGAAATGAGTATTTCCTGGCTCTGTGAATAGGCCGCAGAAAGGCAGGTGAATGGGTGCAGTCATTCCCCAAGATGGAAGCTTGAAGTGATTACTCAAGTGATTACTCATAATACCAAGCACTTGCTGTTTCTGGGGCTGATGTATATTCCTAAATATTGGCATGCTTTTCCCATCTAAGAGAAGGCTTGAAGCCATCATTTATTTGTTTATTTTTGGCTGGGGCATTATGCAGCACCCCTTTCTACCTAGAATGAGATCTAGGGTGATTCTGAGAATGTGAGCGCTCCTTACCCAGTACCATGCATGGTGCTGGCATGGGTAAGCTTCTAAAATATGTCCTCAATATTGGCATAGTGGTTTCCAAAGCACAATCACAACTACTGCTCAATTTATCAATACTAAATTACAGACAAGTAAACTAAGGCCCAGGGAGCTGGTTGACTGTCTCAAGGTCACAAAGCAAGTAAGTGTCAAACTTAGAACAATAACCATAAATGTCGAACTCTAGTTTTGCTAATACCCGAGTGTCACTTATTTTGTGTAATAGTTACATTTGTTGACATGATGCCAATGTTTTCATATATTATCTACCTACATTTTTAAAACACCCTATCTTAGAACAGATACCAGCCTCTGGATGATGTCTCCAAACTTATCTCAGACCACTGTCCTACCAAGCGGCAGCTTCTGGAAGACACCACACTTCTTCCTGCCCCAGAGCATGTGTGCTTGCTGTTGGTTCTACCGGAATGCTCCTCTCTTACCCTTCACACTGCCAGCACCTTGTCATCCTTCGAGTTTCACTTTGAATGCCCTCTCCAACAAGAAGCCATCCTGGACCTCCCTAAGTAGACTCTCCCTGTTAGTCTCTCTCATAGCACTGTATTTGTTTCCTGTTTTAGATGGACTGCTCTCTGTATTCATTCTACTTACTTGCTTGGTTGAATATTATCAGTCTTCCCCAAGAATGAAAGGGCAGGACCATGTCCGTCCCATCACATGGAGTATCTTGACAATGCCTTGCACATAGCAGGTCCTCAACGAAAATGTGTCAAATGACATAAGGAACAGAACTGAGCTGACTTCTGCATTGCACAGCAAGCTGGTTTTATCTTTCTTATGAAAAACTTTAATGCTGAACTAAATTTCTTTCTGGGAGTAGTATAGATAGAAGGTTGATGACAGGCAGCATTTGCAAGCAGATTGGCCAGTTTGGGGCTGTTGAGCTAACCCAGGAACATTAAGAGAGAGGGTGACTTGGGCTTACAGTGGTGGCTCTGGGACTGGAGAGCAGGTGAGCTCAAAGATATTAAGACTGTGACTGCCTAGGAGGGGCTAGAAGAGGAGTGAAGGACAGAACCTGGACAAAGTTGTAACCTGAGCCCACCCATTCTCCTCAGCCTGCCCACCCTGGCTTGAACAGTTCCTTGGCTTCCTGAACATCTATGAGCCTGACTTCCCTAAAGGTTTGTAGACCTGAGGGGGTTAGTGTTCTCAGGAGAGGGTGAGGTTCCAGAGAACAAAGGCTCAGGTACCAGGTGGGGAGGAGTCCTGGGACCTGCATCTCACTTTTAGGGAACTGGGGTCCTATTTATCCACATGTCCTGTTTATCCACAAATAAATATCTAGGAATCTTCCAGTCTGTGCTTGACCTGATCATCTTTCTCCTACAGATCCCATGATCACAGATGTGTTTAATTTCTTCTTCCACTGGATTGAGGAGTGGGCACCTGCCTTCCCTGCCTTTCCCCTCCAAGACCATGATCCTTCCCTCTGCATCCTTCCTGTTCTGTCACCACTCACTCAGGCATCCCACCAACTGGACAACCTGGCCCTCTAGTGCCCTTTCTTACTTAAGCTTCTCCTTAGGAAGACAGAAGAGAACACAAGCAAGCTACTGTCTGTCCAAAAAATGGGCTCAGACACATTATACTTCTGGGTCTGTTGTTTTCTTTCTAGACAGGCAACTACTTGGCTGGTTTTTGTTTCTCCGGTGGAACTCTGACTAATACAAATTTTGGTAGCAAGAATTTTCTAGAGGAACAGAATCTTTTTTTTTTTTTAATTTTTTTTCAACGTTTTTTATTTATTTTTGGGACAGAGAGAGATAGAGCATGAATGGGGGAGGGGCAGAGAGAGAGGGAGACATGGAATCGGAAACAGGCTCCAGGCTCCGAGCCATCAGCCCAGAGCCTGACGCAGGGCTCGAACTCACGGACCGCGAGATCGTGACCTGGCTGAAGTCGGACGCTTAACCGACTGCACCACCCAGGCGCCCCTAGAGGAACAGAATCTTAATGAGTTTTTTAAATTCATTCTGGATTTCATGAATGATTTTTCCATTAGGATTCATTGGAAAGACACTGATGACCCTATTGCCAATGGTAAAGAGGACACTGCTAGCCCAGGGCCTGATGTTGCAAAATGCAAAACATCACTATTAGATAATGCTAATCAAATACTTGTAATAGGCAAGGTTTGGTGACCATGTATTTGATGACATATTGCATTTTAGTTACCCTAAGGAGCATAAGATTGACTAGTTGTTCCATGCTGTACTGGAAAAGTAGGGAAATAATGATGTGAAGCATTCAAATTCTCAGACCACAAAAGAAATAAATGACTTGAAAGCTTCTATGTCAGCATTGTGCCCTATGTCAGCACCACTGTGCCCTAAAGCCCCAGGCCTTCACCAGGGCTCAGATTTCGGAGAACTAAACCCAGAGCATCATTCTCTCTGTGTCACAATTATAAGCAAATTAAATTCCATATCTTGTAGGTGTCAAATTATAGTGAGAACACTGAGCAATGGGAACCTGAAAATTGGAATGCGGACATATGGGATATCCCCATGAAGCTGGAGACATCAAACCCCTATAATCTACTGAGTCTTCTTTCATTTGGGGAATACATCCATTCCAGTTATGTATTCCAGAGGCAGAGAAATAACCTCAGGATAAGTTAGGGTATACAGCACTAGCTAGGAGGCAATAACTTGCAGGGTTAAAGGAAGGCTCTTCAAGGGGCTGAATATGCTATAAATCAATGTCCAACATATGGTTCTCTTACTCTACAGTCAGGGTTCACCCATCCAGGACTCAAGAGATGGAAATGGGACAGGCACCACACATTGTTACCCCTAGTGACCCAATTAGCCACATCATTGGTGCTTATTCCTGTAACATGTGCTCTGTTGGCCTAGTGATCTTAGTTCCAAAGGCAGGAGTGCTTCCACCAGGACACACAGGATGATTACGTTGAACTGCATGTGAACATATCTCCTGGCCACTTTGGGCTCCTCATGGGTCTGAATCAAAAGCAATTACTGTGCTGGATTTATCCTGATTGCAAAGGGGAAATTAGTAGTTTCCTTACCAATGAAGGTGAGAAGAATTATGCTTGGAATAGAGGAAGTACATGGGGCATCTCTTAGAATTACCATGCCCTGTCATTAAAGTAAACTGAAAAATGCCACTGCCCAGTTGAGGCAGGACTGGTTATGGCCCAGGTACTTCAAGAAATAAGGTTTGGGTCACCCCACCAGGCCAAAAACCACAGCAGGTATGGTGCTTACTAAGGGTAAAGCAAATATGGAATGGGTAGTGGGAGAAGGTATTTATAAATGCTAGCTTTGGTCATGCCACAGGTTGTAGAAATAAGGAGTATATTGTTTCTAGCACTTTTCTTTATTTGTTGTGAATTTGGTTATATATGTGTGCACCTGTGTGTCAGAGTTTTCTTCCTTGTCTTACATCCTCCAGATAAAAGGTAAGATGTAATTATGTTAAATATATATTATAGTCCTGAAGATATAGGATTTCAGGGAGAAGAAAAAATATGCTCCAATGACTTTGTTTTGTGGCTAGGGACAAGGGTCAACATACTTTCAATTATATTAAGGACACTTGGTGGAAGGGTGACTGTATTCTAGTTAATGGGCAGATCAAGTATGGTTTAAAGAGATGTATGAATGCCAAGTGGACTACAGTTGGACTGTGAAGACTAGTTTTGTGGGTCGACTTGGACTGGATGTAGTACCAGTTATTCAATTAAATAAAAGTCTTGGTGTTTCACTGAAAGATTTATAGATATGGTTCAGATCTGTAGTCAATTGAATTTAAGAAAGGGATAGTTCCTTGATTCACAGGGAGGCCCAATACCCTCATTGAATGGCCTTAAGAGCAGACTTTAAGAAGGTGGAAAATGCAGAAGAGATTCTCCCTTAGAGCTTCTTCAACACCTTGGTTGTGGCCCAGTGAGACCCTTTTCAGATTTCTGGTCTCCTGAACTACAAGATGATCAATTTGTGCTCTTTTAAGGGACTAAGTTTTTGTCATTTGGTAGAATGGTAAGAGAAAAGAGTACAGGGAAAGAACATCAGACAGGAATGGAAAACAACAGGAGAAGCCAGACAGGCTGGAGACAGGTGCAGAATCAAGAGTTACACACACAGTCAGAACTAAAGCTGGGTAAGAGAAGGGTAACAGAAAACTAGTAGGAATCCTGGAAAAGAATGAGACAGAGAAAGGCAGACAGTCTGACGGGCAAGAGGAGGAGATCACAGAGGCTGGCATGAGTGGGGCAGAAAACAGGAGATGAGAGACGGACAGGAAGACAGGATAGCAGGCAGGAGGGCCTCAGGGTTCACACTTGTCTGCACAGGTTTTAGAGGAGCTTCCTGAGATGCAGGTGGATCCCATTCTTGGACCTCAACACAATTCTTGGCCAGGGAACAGGGACCCTGGAAGGATCTGGTGCCAGCTCAAAGCGGAGCAGGGTCAGGGCCACCGCCACCTTCATCTCGCTCATGGCAAACTGCTTCCCGATGCAGTTCCTGGGTCAGGGAGGGAAAAGGAAATGAGAAGTGGCCTGAACCCCTCACTGGGACCAGCACATTCAGGACCCTCCTGCATGCGCCAGCCCCCATCCCTTTCCTTATAGGATACACACACATCTCGACCCAAGCCTTGCTTCACACTCTGCCCCTGACCCTTGACAAAACCCACAGTCTTCCAGGACTAACTGCTGCTCCTACCTCTGCTGTCAGCAGGCCTGAAATCCTCTTACAAGAGAGTCAGCTCCTGAGGCACACAGCCAAGTCAAGTGATCACTACAACAGTTAATCCTTAGGTTGTTTGCTCTCTCCATAAGCCATTTCTGGTTTCACATAGGGAAAGCCAGAATAAGTACCATAGGGAGCAGGCTGGGTCACATGTCAGGCCCTAACCGTCTGGGGGGCTAAAGGGACTCAGATCCTCAGAGAAAGGACAAGGTGGAATTGTGTAAGGAAGTCAGAATGAACACAGGGAAATATTGTGGTGGGTCAAGGCCTTAACGATGCTCAACGTGCTGCACCATCTCCCTCCCAGTTTGGGTCCAGACTCCAGGCTTCCCTTCAACCCTTCAGTCAACCAGCTGCTATAGACTCCATTTCTACTGCAGAAATGTCCCTGCCTGCCATCCCTCAGTCTCCTCACCCAGGCTTCTCTGTCTCCTGCCTCCCCTCCCTCTCCTGAAGCCCTGCCCAGCTCTGACTCTCCCAGGCCCTCCATCACAGCTAGGTCATGTCCACATGCCTCAGCTGGCATCAAAGTCCTCTCTGGCTTGTTCCCTCACTCACCTGTCACCTGTCCAGCTCCACCCCTCAGCTCAGCTCCTGCTGATGTGATTCCTGAGAATACCTTCCTTCCACCTGCCACGTGCTCAAGCCTAAGGGCAATGACACCCTCCCCCTCTCTGTTGCCTGTACATCATACCTTGACTCTGAAGTCACTATAGTTATTTTTTTACTAAAGGACATGTTACATGTACAGGACAATGTGAGGTACATGGAACTTCCTATAGTGTATTCAATTAGTAAATGAGTGAGTGGAAGAATGAATGAATACTGTCTCTTTTGAGTGGTGGCATTTATCTCTTCACTGTGATCTCTTGGATGCAAGATCAATATCTTTCCTCTGCATTACCAACTCCTAGCAGAGGATTTGACACACAGAGACAGGCTTGATAAGTAGTCTTAGAATTGAATGATGTTTATTGCACTGAAAACAAAATCCTGAACGGAATAAAATATGAGTAACCATTAGGTCTGAGCTAGGAATAGAGCTGTCTAGCCCTCTCCTGTCTCTTCTGGCAGCCACGTGTCTTCTGCCGATGTCTAGGAGGAGGAATTTAATCCCATGGTGAAATCAAATCCTAGGCCAGCATCTGCAAGAATAATTGGCTTAAAGCCCATTCTTGAAAGTGGATTCACTATTTGAAGAATTGATAGATTTATGCATTCCAAAAAAAACTTGTTTCTAGTAACTCTTGGGGAATTTCCTGAAGTTACTATTTAGAGGACAATTTCAGCAGCACTGGAGGATTTCACAGCAGCCACTCTGGAGAACAGTCATCCAGCTCCACAGCAACTTCAAGTCTGCTTTATGTTTTATACCCCAGGAAACTTTCAAATACCATGTGTCATGTATAAAACAGTGGCTTTTCTCTCAAAAACAGTTTAATGTCCTCATTTGCATATATTTGCCCACTGGTGCAATTGGATTCTAAGTATGATATTAAGGTGTGTACAAGGGTGCCTGAGTGGCCCGCTCAGTTGTGTGTCCAACTTTGGCTCAGGTAATGATCTTGTGGCTTGTGGATTTGAGCCCCGCGTTGGCTCTGTGCTGACAGCTCAGAGCCTGGAGCCTGTTTCAGATTCTGTGTCTCCCTCTCTCCCTCTCCTGCTTGTGCTCTATCTCTCTCTCTCAAAATAAATAAACATTAAAAAAAAATTTTTTTAAGTGTGTGGAGCCCAGATCATGTGTACTGATTTGACACCTGGGAAAACTGTCAAGTGTATGTGAACATTACCATTACAAATATTTTGGATAGATGCAAACATAATGGCGACACAGATTAGTGGAATACTTCGTGAACCCCTTAAGAGGCTACAGTAACTATTTCTGTATATGACTTAACTATTTGAGACATAAAAGGCAGCTGAGAATGGAAACAATGCAAAGTGATGCAGTGCGGGGACAGAATGGCGAGTTGAGTAGAAAAGACTGGCTTGAAAATGTGTACAAAAGAAATCTATCAGATTCCATCCAGACTCAAAAATTGACAACACTTGAAATTAACATGTGAGAAAATCGATTGTGCAAAGTCATACTCATACACTGAATCAAACGCTAGAATGCATTGAGCTTTGGAACAGCCACCAACACTGAAGTGTGGCTGGAGATTGGGGAAGAGCAATGGGTCTAAGTCTCTCTGTCGTGCTGTGCTTACCAACTTTCTCTTGTACGTAGAGACACACACCTCTTTCCCAGCACACAGACATGCAAGAGCATATCTGTAGACACCCATGTAAACATAAGAGGTCACAAACATTGGATATGTTCCAGGTAAACAGTCCCCCACTCCCATCCTGGTACACGTAACTCACCTGACTCCTCCTGAGAAGGGCAAGAAAGCATGACTGTGTCGAACAGAACCCAGTGCAAACTGTGAAGGGTCAAACACCTGCAGAGGGAGCACAAGGTTCAGGACAGGTGTGGTCAAGCCCCTCCTTCCTCCAGCCAACCACCAGACAGAACACCCAGAGGTGGGACAGGAGAATGGGTTTGTCTGGAGAGATCATCCCATCCCCTCCTTCCCAGACCATCACACCTTTGGGTTTGGCCACACCTCTAGGTTGTGGAAAGAAAGAGAGAAAGACAGGAAAGATAGAAAGACAGAAAGATAGGAAGGAAGGAAGGAAGGAAGGAAGGAAGGAAGGAAGGAAGGAAGGAAGATGTAATGCCTCACAACTATTGAAGCATCTAAGTATCTATATTTGGCCTTATGCTTGCTTGTGGGCTAGGAAGGTGGTTGCTGGAGGGTATTAAAGGCTGAGCCACCAGTCTCTTATGGAATTTCACAGTCCCCAAGGAATGTACCCAAGAAGGAAGAGGCACACCAGCAGATGTGGGTTAGCTCTCACCTAATTGCCCCAGGATCACCTTCATGTAGTCTGGGTCATAGACTGCAAGGGTAACTTGGCTCCCCCATAGCCAGCGAGGACTGGCACACAGGTTCTCTGCCATTTTCTGAAGATTTTGTAGTTCCTGGACCTTTTGGAACAGGGATAGACAAATCAATAAAACCTTCCTCTTTAGGTTCACTGCTTGGAATGGTGGTAGAGAGTAGAATGGCCACAGGGCAATAGTTCTAGATATCATCAGTGATTAGGAGTTTCAAACTGTTTCTGATGTGCCAGACTCTGATCCAGATTCCAGATTCAGTGAACTTATGTTCTAGTGTGGGAGTGGAGGTGGGGAAGACAATCGGGCTTAGAATCTGAAGTATCCTTCAATTAGTTAAGGAGCCTGCTCTGTGCTCCCAGGTCATGGCCATCATTGGGTTGCCATTCTCCTTAGATTCAGTGTAGGGACTGCCCAGTGGGAGCTCTTCCCACAAAGCTATGTTACTTTGTCCTCCAGGATCCCCTCATACCTGCGCAGCAGGGGCTCTGTGTCCTGTTTCTTCCTAGAGACATGCCTCCTTTTTGATCACATGCTCTCCTCCTCTAGGAGACCCCAAGGAACCAAATGGTGCCATGCCTGGCTATTCCCCTCTCTGGGCCATTCTGAGGGCCACTGGTCTGTCAGCTGCCTGGATAAGTACTAAGGAGCTGCCATCTGTCCCTGAGCAGGTCTGGCCAGGGCCAGGTGAGACTCTCGTAGAGGAGATGGTACCCATGGTGGCAGTGGCAGGTACCCTGTCATGAGCACCCAGCATCCACTGGCCTTCAGGATGCGGCCACTCAGTGCAGGCCATGCTCTACTAAAACTGTGACCACCAAAAAATGTCCCCCAAGGGAGGCACAAGGACAGAAGGTGGACAGAAACTAAAGGGGCAGCACAGACAATGGTCAGGTGTTGTGGGCTCTGCTGGCTAGCAGTCAGCCTGAGACAGGTGGGAGGCCCTGGGGAAATAATGAGCCGTTGGGTCATGTATTTCCCACAGTGAAGTTCCCCTTTCATGGTTCCTTGTGGATTTCACCCCTAGGTAGTGCAGCAAGTTGGCTTACCCACAACATGCATGTCCTTCATAGTTATTAACATTATTTTCAATTTTTATCAATTAGAGTATAATTGTCTCCTTGCTCTGTGCCAGGCAACATTCAGAGATTAGAAGAACTAACATGAGACTGTAATCATCATCATTATCCCCATTTTACAGATGAAGAGAGGCATAGAGCAGGTATTTGAAATATGTGGCAAAGATAGGATAGAATCAGCCATGTTGGGTGTAGAGATTAGGTAAAAGTATTATCTTTAATAAAAAATTTTTTGAAGATAGGAGTTAAGATTATGGAGAAGTAGGGGGACACTAGGCTTTTCTTATCCCTCAAACATAGCTGTATTGGGGTCAGATCACTTACAATACCCAGGAAATTAATCTGTAGAGTGGCAGAAGGATCTCCACACTTGGAGGGAAACAGTTTGGCAGGTGCATGGATGTGAGTTGGGAGAGAGAAAAATAGCCATGCTACAGAGGGGGAGGGAACCCCTTCCATAGAGAGACAAAAGGGAAAGAAAGAGAGAGGGGTTGCAATAACGTGGCATCAAATTAGCACAAGAGGAAAACATCTCTGGAGTGAGAAGTACTGAGTCTAGGTTATTTTTTTTTTGATGTTTTGTTTTGTTTTTGCAACTCAAACTCTCATGATTTGGAAGTGCATGACTTTCTCTGCAAGTGCTCCTGGGAAGGAGGGAGCTGGCCCTGGAGTGCATAGCATGGTGTAGTCATCTCCAGGGTGCACTGGGAGAGAATAAACCTCTTCTTGGAATACTTTGGGAAGAGGGCTTATTGCCTCCCCAAGAACAAAAGACCTGGTAGCTTCCAGCCAAAGGTCTTTCATCAGCAGGGTGGAGAGGCTCTACTCTGGAGGAGGGGAGTGGATCTGCACCACGACAGCTCCTTTAAGACTTGGGTTTTTGAATCCCAGCCCTTGTTCCAAGAAGATGCAGGAGAGCAGAACAAACTGACTTTCTTCACTATTCTATGAGGGCTACTTGAACAGCAGGGGTTGAGATCTCTGCCCTATTTTTTCTCTAATAGCCCATCTCTCAGCACCTTCCATTCTTCCTTTCTATCAGCACCGTCTCCCTTCAGAACAAGCACCAAGTTCCCCATTGTGAAAACAGCTGTCACTCTACTTTATTCTTTCTCTCCTCACCTCCCTTCCCACCTCTTACCTTAAGTTTATTCTCTTAGTAGACAAGCCCATTGACCTGGGATGCCTCCATTCCTTTGTTATTCTCTTGCTTTCTAGATCGTACATCTACATCTTATATTCCTCATCCTGCTCTTTCGTAAAAGCCCCCAGTATGTTTCCCTAGTTCAAGTCAATTAAATAACTATTTTTTTTTTATTTTTTTTTCAACATTTATTTATTTTTGGGACAGAGAGAGACAGAGCATGAACGGGGGAGGGGCAGAGAGAGAGGGAGACACAGAATCGGAAACAGGCTCCAGGCTCTGAGCCATCAGCCCAGAGCCTGACGCGGGGCTCAAACTCACGGACCGCGAGATCGTGACCTGGCCGAAGTCAGACGCTTAACCGACTGCGCCACCCAGGCGCCCTTTAAATAACTATTTTTTGAGAGAGAGAGAGCAAGAGCAGTGCACACAAGCGGGGAAGGGGCAGAAGGAGAGGGAGAGAGAGAATCCCATGCAGGGTCCGCATTGTCAGTGCAGAGCCTGAGGGCTCAAACTCAGGAACAGTGAGATCATGACCTGAGTTGAAATCAAGAGTCAGACATTTAACTGACTGAGCCACCCAGGTGTCCCAGGAGAGAGACAATATTAAGCAGGCTTCACACCCAGCTCAGAGCCAGAGGCGGGGCTTGATCTCATAACCATGAGTCAAGAGTCAGAGACTTAACTGACTGAGCCACCCAGGCGCCCGTAAACAACTATTTCTAAAGCAACTGCTATGCACCCAGCCTGGCTGGGCTCAAGAAAATCCAAGATTAAAAAAAATAAATCCTTCATCACCATGGAGTTTCCAGACCTAATGAGGAAGATAAGTTGAACATAAAAAGAGATACATAATGAGGCTGCATAGGACTGCTGACTATGGAATGAGTCATAAATGAAAACATAAACAAATGAAGTATCAAATGAGAGGTATGAAAATGAGTACTTTAATTGTTCACAGGCTGGGTGGTTAGAGAAGCATTCGTAGGGGAGGTAATTCTTGACGGTGGGCTCAAGAAGAACAGAAGACACTTGGGATGGGGCATGTTGGGGACAAGGGGGAAAGGTGATTCTTCTTGCTCTGTTTTTCTCAATGAAGAGAAACATAGGGATCATCCTATATGTCTTCCTTACTGCGTTCACATCCAGTCAGCTATCAACCCCATCAAAAACACTCTACAGGGCACAACACCTGAGTAGCTTTGCAGGGTAAGCATCGAACTCTTGATTTTGGCTCAGGTCATGATCTTACAGTTCGTGAGTTCAAACCCCATGTGGGGCTCCCCACTGACAGTACAGAGCCTGGTTGGGATTCTCTCTTTCTCTCTCTGCCCTTCTCTGCATGCATACATGCACTCTCTCTTTCTTTCAAAAAAATAAAATTAAAAAAAAAAACATTGTCCAATATTTCTCCCACTCATTCTGCCTCTCTGTCCCATGGCACTCCCCCTTGCCAGGCCACCATCACATCTTATCTGAATATTGCAACGGCAAGAGAAATGGTCTTCTAGAGCCAGTCTTTCAACCACCCCCACCCATACACACACATATACATCATCTAAGAATCTAAGACCTGGATTCTTGAGGCAGACTGGATTCAAATCCCGATCCCCCTTCTCACCCTTTGATGTCCTGGGAAACCTGCATTAGTTCGTCTATATATACCATGGGGAAAATGGTAATGTCTACCTCAAATTTTTATTATGAAGATTAAAGGAGTTACTATATGTAAATCACTTTAATATAGTACTTGACACTTAGTAAGCACACAACAAACATTTACCTATTATTATCTCCCAAATAGCTGTCAGAGTAATCTACTATCTAACCAGGTCACTTTCCATTTTAAATCCCTTGGGTGGGGGAGGAGCCAAGATGGCAGAACAGCATGGAAGTTTTTTGTGTGTTTCGCATCCATGAAATACAGCCAGACCAACACTAAACCATCCTGCACACCTAGAAAACTGATTGGAGGATTAACACAACAATCTGCACAACCTGAACTATAGAATTCAGCAGGTATACAGCGCAGAGAGGTGAACTTGGGGAGCAAGAAGCCATGGGAAGGGAGGTGCTTTCGTGTGCAGAGAGAGAACAGAGATGGGGGGGGAGAATATGGGAAAAGCACCCCTCCCCAAAAGTAGCTGGAGAGAAAGTGGAAAATTTGGAAACAGCCACAGGGACTAAACTAAAAAGGGAGAAAGGAGAAAGGAGAGGGTTTAAATTCCATTAAGACTGTAAACAAGGGGAGCACAAAGTCTGCAACTCTGCACCTCAATACCTGGCGGTGCTCTGGTGGGAAGGGCAAATCCCCAGGAACAGAATGGGGTCTGAGAGGTTCTTGGACCACACGGGGAAAAGCAGTTCCACTGCTGGAAGGACATTTGGTAGAGATTGTTGAGGCCACCTTGTCCCAGCAGACCCCAGAAAATGGCCACATTCGCTGGTGCTGGAACAAGGTCATTAAGGGTGAAGCCTGGTGCCAGATGTGTGTTGTGATTTCCCATAATCCCTGAAAAGCTGCTGCTACACTATCTCATGAACTTTTTCTGGGGTGGGCTGGTGCCTGGCCGCAGTCTCAGGGCACCAGCAGCAGCAGGGTCTCATGAACGTTCCTGGGTGCGGCCAGCACCTGGCCATTGCTCAGTGAGACCCTCCGCAGGGGCAAAATGGGTCAAAGCCGCAGTCCTTCAGAAGTAAGGGGCTGGGGAAAACAGCCACATCTAAGATCAAACTCGGGAGAGAGGTACTGCCTGGGGCCTGGTCACGGGCAGTGAAAAAACGGGGAGTGGATGAAAGCTGAAGACAGAGGATGGATGTATGATTGCTATTCCAGGAGA